GTTATACGCCATGTCGCCATGCCAAAGTGTTCCGTTATACGCCATGTCGCCATGCCATAGTGTTCCGTTATACGCCATGTCGCCATGCCAAAGTGTTCCGTTATACACCATGTCGCCATGCGAAATACAAATCATGATTAGTTGAAGTGTCCTGCCATCGCTCTGATCGACCTGGCTCGTATGTCGAGTATAGTGATATGTTTGCAGTGTGCATATTCAACGCCGGAGCATGAATCCATAGAATCACTCGTGACAACAGCAACAACGTGTTAGATGCGGTACCCGGATATTGTTTAACCCTCGTGATCGAAACGGACCAAAAAGATCGGCGAGAAATAGAAATGCTAAACCAAAAAAATTGTATGCGGTAAAATTGTGTCATCGCTGTCTACTGAAAAAAAGCTTTAATTTGGCGAGTTATGAGCTGAATCAATCGCCGGTGTCAATTTCCCCCGGGCGTAGAGGGAGGGTGCCGCTACGTGGCAGCACTAATGTTAGGATTAGGGTTAGGGTCAGGGTTAGGGTTAGGGTTAGGGTTAGGGTTAGGGTTAGGGAAATAAAGCCATGTCTAGCATGGAAGTATGACTTGGAATGACGGAAGTGTACGAAGTGACTAGTGCTGCCACGTAGCGGCACTCTCCCTCTACGCCCGGGGGAAAGTGACACCCATCATTCGCCACACGACAGGCGAACGAAAGACTTGTCGATGGAAACGAAACTGGATGCGGACACATCAAATCTCACACGGCGGAAATATTAATTGTGTTAGAAGAGTACCCGTTTACGGCGGCACAGGCGAGGGGGACTCACAATCTTGCGAAAGCATTCCTAAAATTTTAAGCGTGCGCGGGCTAAGGGTTCTTAAGCGCGGATCGCGAGCGAGGAAATCGTATCCGCGCGTCGCTAGCGTTTCCCTTTACAAAAACTGCTCGCGTCGACGGACAGCTGTGAGGATATCATCATGCATTTCTAATTGCGTTAACATATCTTATCGATTTTCAGCGCCATTATAATCCGTGAGCTTCATGTGTACGTTGCAAGCGGCGAGCGGCCGAGGCGTTTTTTACGCGGCACGCACGCAAGACAAACAAACGGAAGCGTTTGTGTTCCCCGATACGAACGCGTTTCCCTCCCTGTCGGTGTCACCTGCCGTGCGCCGGAAGCTGCAGTAAAAATGTCCAACCACTCTGACAAATCATGTGACATTGATCGTGAAGCCGTTTGTGCCGTGAAGTAAAACGGCTACGACTTAGTTACGGTGACACTCAGACGACGATAATTTTGTCAACGGTGACAATTGTGACACTATGTGAGGCAATTACAACGTACGACGTCGATTTTCTAGATAATAGTAATTATTACGAAGGTGAGTCTATATATAGAAATTGTAATAACGTTGATTCTCTAAATGGCAATTATTACGGAGGTGAGTCCATATATGGCGGTTGTACTGATGGCGACTCTATTTATATTAGTCGCATCTATGGTGACTCTAATAATGGCAGCTGCGCCGATGGTGACACTATAGTGTTAGCAACTACAAACGCACATTTCAACAGATAGCAATCTTGACGTTGGTGACAATATGAATGACGATGGTAATCATGATGTCTATAGAGGCGACAACGCTATCGATAGATGACAATAATTATATAGATGGTGATACTGCCGACGCCAATTTTATAGATGGATTGTCGATCAAAGCCAGTTGTAGCGATAAGGAAAATGATGTGGACGACTACGCAGTAACGATCACGATGTGCATTGTCTGCATGTTGACACGAATTTTCGTCAGCCGAGAGTTCTCTTACATCTCGCAGCATTCACGCACGCATACCCACGATCGCGCGCACGTGTCGTCTGTAATATTGAGTATCGACACTCGGTCGATGCAGACAAGGTTACTGCGTCGAGCGCACGAACGCCCATAACTTCCAATTCTCTTCACAATCGCCGGCCGCCAACGTCTCAGACTAATCCCTTTGAAGCTGAGCACGGAGGAGAATTTCAACAATGACAGGGACAAGACAGCTACGAGAGGTGCTTAACTGAGAAATATAAGTACAGCAGTATAGAATTATTTGTGCTCCGCGTGGTGTAACTTGATGTATGAGAAGAAAGACTTCAAGAGCGCTCGCGACTGGCGTGACAGTAATTCGCAGCGTGACGTCCTCCAGTGGCTGTCGACGAGGAATGACGTCATTAAAATGTCAGATGACGACTTCTACATAAACACGGGGTCATTACAGGGTCAGATGACGACTTCTACATAAACACGGGGTCATTGCAAGGGTAGATGACGACTTCTACACAAACACGTGGTCATTACAAAGGTCATTGCAAGGGTAGATGACGACTTCTACACAAACACGTGGTCATTACAAGGTCAGATGACGACTTCTACATAAACACGGGGTCATTGCAAGGTTAGATGACAACTTCTACATAAACACGAGGTCAGTACAAGGTCAGATGACGACTTATACATAAACACGGGGTCATTGCAAGGTTAGATGACAACTTCTACATAAACACGAGGTCAGTACAAGGTCAGATGACGACTTATACATAAACACGAGGTCAGTCCCAGGTCAGATGACGACTTCTACATAAACACGAGGTCAGTCCAAGGTCAGATGACGACTTGTACAAAAACACGAGGTCAGTCCAAGGTCAGATGACGACTTGTACATAAACACGATGTCAGTCCAAGGTCAGATGACGACTTCTACATAAACACGGGGTCAGTACAAGGTCCGATGACGACTTCTACATAAACACGGGGTCATTGCAAGGTTAGATGACGACTTCTACATAAACACGGGGTCATTGCAAGGATAGATGACGACTTCTACACAAACACGTGGTCATTACAGGGTCAAATGACGACTTCTACATAAACACGGGGTCATTGCAAGGATAGATGACGACTTCTACACAAACACGTGGTCATTACAGGGTCAAATGACGACTTCTACATAAACACGGGGTCATTGAAAGGTCAGACGACGACTTCTACGTAAACACGAGGTCATTGCAGGGTCAGATGACGACACCCCTAAAATCCATAGGGTCATTACAGGATCAAATGACGGTATCCAAAAAAACTTGCGACATTACAAGGTGATCTGGAGACGACATGCACGTGAAAAAACGTGACGTCATTACAATTTCGGACGCCGACACCTTCGCGTAATGGCGACGTGTGTAAGAATAGACGTGTTTCGGACGAGAGAGTTCGCTTGTTTACTTGGACTTTGAAGCCTTACCTGCGTTGAAAATAACTCTTAATCATTGAGACCACTTCGCGCGCACATGCGCAGACCCTGCGCGTTCCTCGCGTATGAACAACGATAAATAATCCTTTACTAACGTCGTCCACACGACCAACTCAATTATGTATCGGTCGCGTCGTGAACGCAACCTGATACAAAAGCGCGAAACCTTCCAACGCGGCTCACATACACACAACCGCAAATATAATGTCCACCACATTTCATGTACGCGCGTAAAATATAACCGTTTTCGCCATTTTCTTTTAGTGCCGACGGCAACTACCAGGTGACGCTGATGACGAAGGCGACGATCTATCCGAGCGGTCTCGTCGTCTGGGAGCCGCCGGCGATCTATAAGAGCTTCTGTCCGATCAACGTCGAGTTCTTCCCGTTCGACAAGCAGGAGTGTCACATGAAGTTCGGCTCGTGGACGTACAACGGCTGGCTGGTCGATCTCAGTCACCTGGGACTCGAGAACGAGACTCGCGAGGCGCAGAGGGTCGTCAGTGCCGACTGCCAGGCGTCGCAGGGCGGCGGCGGCGACGGCGGCGGCGAGCAGACGGTAACCAAGGCCGACGCAATCAACCTGGACGAGTTCTATCCAAGCGTCGAGTGGGATGTACTGGAAGTGCCGGCCGTCAAGTCGAACATTGTCTACCCGTGCTGCCCGGAGCCGTTTATCGACATCACGTTTTACCTGCATCTGCGCCGCAAGACGCTCTTCTACTCCGTCAATCTGATCATCCCGTGCGTGTCGCTTTCGTTCCTCACCGTCTGCACGTTCTACCTGCCGTCGGACAGCGGCGAGAAGATCTCGCTGAGCATCTCGATTCTCGTCAGCTTGACCGTCTTCTTCCTGCTGCTGTCGGAGACGATACCGCCGACGTCGCTCGTCGTGCCGCTCATCGGCAAGTACCTGCTCTTCACGATGATACTCGTCACGCTGTCCGTCTGCGTGACGGTGTACGTGCTCAACGTGCACTACCGCTCGCCAGTCACGCACACGATGGCGCCCTGGGTGCGGCGGGTCTTCATCCAGCTGCTGCCGCGCCTGCTGCTCATGCGGCGGCCGCAGTTTGAAAAGGACAAGACGTACTTGTCGGTGAAGGAGTGCAGCAAGCGCTTCAGCGGACTGTTCAGCGACGATGCGGCCGTGCAGCGCTGCGGCGACATCGACTCGCCTTACTCGCCCGAGATCCGCAAGGCAATGGGCGGCGTCATCTACATAGCAGAGCATCTGCAGCGGGAGGACGAAGTGCGCTCGGTGAGTGACGGTAACAGCCGCGAGAGGGCGCCAGCGTCGGTCACGATGCGCGATCGTGAGGGTGACGTTGAGTGACGAAGATGGCCGGGAGAGGGCGCGAGTGTCGGTCACGATGATTGAGTATTATAAGTACGTGTGTGCGCGTATAATGCTGGAATGCGAGCTGGTAGCACACACACACACGTGCCATCAAGCTTCTCTTCCGCAGTGTCTCTTATAATAATAACGGTTATGAAAATGTTTATTTGTAGTAGGTTTTGAATAGGATACAGAAATAGAGATAGACGTATTACAGAATTTGCTGAAAACCTACAAATTACAGCGACGTATTCATAAGGGTAGATCCAATTTAAACATTAACGATTATTGTTCCTTTAGTCGCAATGTTTATCAACATCCAACGCCAATTTAGGCGCCTATTCACGTTTAGTGAGTCATTCGTGCATGTCCTATTAGCGTTTCATTGTCGCAGCACTGATTACTCATCACAGCGTTCAGCAGGCATATCTGATGCTAGAGGCCTGGCTTCACGCGCTATTGCCTGCTGTTGCGATACCCGTGGCACGAGTTATGTTTCACGAAGGGTGTGTGTGTGTGTGTGTGTGTGTGTGTGTGTGTGTGTGTGTGTGTGTGTGTGTGTGTGTGTGTGTGTGGGTGTGTGTGTGTGTGTGCGCCAGCCGGATTATGTGAAGCCGGATATATATATAAGCCAGCCGGATTATGTGAAGCCGGATTGTGAAGCAGTTCATATGCAATACTACATGCGTTGTATACGTGCGGATTAGCCGCGTCGCTACACGCAAGCAAGTCTCCCGCCGTATGCTCGGTCGTTAGTGACGCAGCTAGTGTACGGCATCGGCGTGGTAGCTTAAGGCCGATACATAGGCCACACGCGTTGTGTTCTGCGCGGAAAGAAAGCAAGGACTTCTATGTTCTATTCGTAGCCGTTTCCATAACACGACTTGTCCTACTTATTGATCGCTTCCGCTCTTGGTTTTTTTCTCGGCGTTTGATGGGAGAAAGCAATTTGTAAAATACATCTCACGAACATGAATATGAATTTTAAATAAGTAAGAAATAATTAAGATTATATTTTTAGAATTATTTTTTTCTGTTAGCATTCGCTGAGATGAAAGCAACGTGAGCGTGGTCTCTGTATTATAATATTATACTATATTTAGTCTGTTAGCCATTTGCTTGTTATTTATTGCCCATTTCTGTATAGATTTTATACAAAATTCACGTATCTAATATATCTTATATATATATATATATATATATATATCGGTAAATCAAACGTATGTTACAATTATAATAATCTCGTAGTCAATCTCTTGTTAATCCGAGTAATTCATGTGGCCAGATTGAGCGTACATATACACTCATATGTTCTCTCCATTTTCCTTCCTAGGTGCGCGAAGACTGGAAGTACGTTGCCATGACGCTGGACAGACTCTTCCTCTACTGCTTCTCCATTGCCTGCTTCGTCGGCAGCTGTGGCATTATCCTACAGGCGGACACATTCTTCGACACTCGTGAACCGTTGGCGTAGCCTCCAGGGGGCGCTGGCCGCCGGCGTAGCCTCTATAGAGGGCGCTGTCGCGAGCAGCCGAGCATTAATAGTGCGGCACCGTGAACGCGCGCGCGCATACGGGTTGCATACTCGTGGTCGACGGCTGTGGTTTACTGCCGCCTGTCCGCCTGTCTGCTGCCGCACGCTCTCACGGACTACGTCGCCTTGCCTGTCACGAGTTTGACTAACGCAGCGCTCCGTAGCAGAACTACGTAAGTGCCGCTAACGTAGCACACGCGGGCAGACAGCGCGCCGACGTGGTAGCAGCGGGCGGGCAGCGCGCGTGAAGTGTGCTGGCAGGAGCCCAGGACTACGTGAGTCCGACATGGGCGCCTGGCTTCGGCGAGAACGAGCTAAAGGCCGCACCGTCAGCGTAGACGCGTCTGACAACGAGCGCGAGACGCGCCGTTAACGGAAGACGCAAATAAAGCAAGGAGGCGCTGTTAACCGCCTGCCTGTCCGCGTGACAGACGCCAGACAGGGCAAGGACGGGTGACCGCTGCCCCTCAGCCTGCTGTGAAATGTAGAGCCAAGTGTGGCAGCAACGAAACTTTTTTTGGCAACCGAGTGAGTTTGCAGCATTAATATTTGAATAAACGTTTGATCGCTATATTGATCATCGAAGTACAGACACTGATGTCATACATATATATCATGTCTTCTTTTCTCAGTATATCGACAGTAAGTAACGGTAATATATGAAGTAATAATGCACAGCAATGACGCGCGTATATACAATCATGAGCTAAATTCGTCTTGCTACGCGTATGCAATAGGTAGGTGGCTCACACGTACGTATAGCACACACACTGAGTAACACGGACAATACATGCAGCCATGCATCTTACTATAATTTGGCGAATGTTGTATGTATGTATGTATGTATGTATGTATGTATGTATGTATGTATGTATGTATGTATGTATGTGTGTGTGTGTGTGTGTGTGTGTGCTGTGCGTGCGTGCGTGCGTGCGTGCGTGGCGTGCCCGGGGTGCGTGCGTGGCGTGCGGTGCGTGCGTGCGTGCCGGCAATGCATGCATGCATGCATGCATGTATGTATGTATGTTGTTATGAAAGGTTCCGTCAGTTTTGGTCGGGTTCTAAACTTTACTCGGTTGAAAACGGTAAAAAATGCCACGCATGCAACATATATATGTTGTAGTTCCATTGGCATAAATACAGTAGTTCATCACACCGCAATACATATACAGTGAGCCACAAGTAGGTTCTCCACATTTACAGTAGCTATACTGACTCTCACATACAATGCGTGCGTATGTCCTGGCCGTATTAATATATCCCGATCTCATTGCAGCGCCCAATGAATTTTGCTATAATCCATTTATTTGTCCATCTTTTTTCACTCATTATAGATATATATAATTTTATAAATGTATATGTATATAATATGGTATATAATATAGACCTATATAATATACCGAACAAATATATATATATATATATATATATATATATATATATATATATATATCTGGTATTTGTTCGGGTATTTTCGCGCGACTTTAAACATAACAGTTTTATCTCGATTTAATATTATTTATCCCATGTTACAGCTTTCCGATGAATTAATTCAACAAACGTAAAATACGCGCCACTGTTTTTCGCTTGGTATCACGAGTAGGAGCAGGTGTGAGCTTGCATGCTGTACACGAACCGCGCTCGCTCCGCAGCAGACGCAGTAGAAGCACTCATCATCATCGTCATCGTTCATCAAGTCGAATCGTCATAATAGGATATCGATTTGGTTTTCTTAATTAAATGGTCGCAATTTTTGCAGACAAGCAGCTTTGCGCTGCCGAAATGCGGGACGATTTCATAAACATTTCTCGCACTATTTTCAATCGATATTTCTCCTGGGAAAGGATGCTCTGTCATGAACATGTAAATATATGCACGTTTATAATGTAAACGTTATACTGCCGGCAGGCAATATTAATGATAATAACGTTAAGCTTCACAGACAAGCACGTGTACAAACTGAGAAACGGCTGCGTCTAAGCACTCACTGTTATTCCAACGAATATCTATATGCAAGTAGATGCGCGTTTAGACACGCTGCGCCATCTGTATGCATGCATGCACATGGTTGTCAATCTATGATGCTACCGCGCATACGGCCCTACCCAGCACTTCAGCCGCACTCCATGTATGTTCACGTCGTAGTGACCTTCATTAATGC